TGGTGGAGGCGGTGGAGGTGGCGGAGGTGGCGGAGGGAGTGGTGGTGGGAGTGGAGGCGTTGGTGGCGACGGTGGTGGCGGCGGTGGTGGCGGCAGTGGGGGTGGTGGCGGCGGCAGTGGTGGCGGCAGTGGGAGTGGTGGTGGTAGCAGTGGTGGCGGTCGGGGTGGAGCTGGTCAGAGAGGAGGTTCTGGCGGTGGCCAGAGGCAGCAGCAGCAGCAGCGTCTGAGCAAGACCCCTTCGCCCCAGCAGCTTCGTGAGTGGTTTGCTCAGCGCAGGGCGTCTGGGGGTAGAGGTTGCTGCGCGTATGTCAATTGTACAGTTGTCCGCACTGGTCAAACATGCGGGAAGCTTCACACCCAGTACCGCTGCCTCTCCCGTCTTGACGACGCCTTTCGCGCAGAGTTTCCTGACGCGGCTGAGCTCCCCCGCTATGCACCAGGCTCCGCACCCCCAGGCTCAGCACCCCTAGCAGGACGAGAGTCAACAGCTACCTCGACAGGCTCAACCGGGTCTACCTGGGACACACCTGAGGGAGCGGCACCCTGAGGGAGGAGGGGGTCTACCACAGCAGCACCTGGTGCGAGGAAGAGAGGCGGGGGGGGGAGCGGGGCAGTGCGGTAGGGGAAGAGGCGGTAGTAGGGCACCGACTCGTCGAAAGTGACGTCCTGAGAGGGCAGGACACGGCGCGAGGAGGCGTGGTAAAACTGCCAACCAGACGCGTCCGGGACAAAGCCAAGGAAGACACAAGGAACAGCGCGAGAGGAGAGCTTGTCCGCGGACGTATCGCGGACAAAAGCACGAGATCCCCAGACCCGGAACACCGACGCATCGCCAACCTCTCCCGTCCAACGCAGTGTCGGCGAAGTCTCCGGAACGGAGACACGGGGCCAGAGGTTGAGCTGATGCGCAGCGTATCGGACCGCAAACGGCCACAGAAAGTGGGGGGCAGCCGCATGGATCAAGGAGGTACGAGCGACCTCCATGACCAAGCCAATGCGGCGCTCAGCAACCCCATTCTGTTGTGGAGAGGCCGGAAGCGTGAACGACTGCTCAATGCCCTCCCCCTGACAGAAGGCCCTCAAGAGGTCGGAGGAAAACTCCCCACCTCTGTCAGAGTGCAGACGCAGGACAGGAAAGTCCGAGTGGAACCTCTCGCTGAGCTGGAGACGGGCAGCGCGGATCCAAGGGATCAAAACATCAGGGACCTCACCCTTGGTGCGCAAGGGGAAGACCGTGGTGTAGCGCGAGTAGTCGTCAACAACTATCAAGAAGTACCTCTCGTGACCCTGTCCACGGACGCGGGCTGGGCCCCACACGTCCATGTGGAGGGTCTGCAGGGGAGCAGTCGTCGGGGGAAACGAGGAGGAGTGAGGAGCGGCGCGCTGCCGCCCCTCGACGCAGGGAAGACAGGGAGGAGCAGGCGAGGGTGGGAGGGGAGGTAGAACCCTGGGAAGACCAGAGACAAGGTACCGGGAGTGCATGCCACGAAGGCGCTGCACTGACGGGTGACCAAGGCGGTGGTGCCAGAGGACGGTCTGGTGCGACAGGGAGCGACACGAGCAGGGGGCCGACAGCTGACCAGACGCAGACGCAGACGCAGCTACCTGAGGGGACTCAGTGGTCAGTGTGTACAGGTCCGACCCCGGCTGCCGAGTGAAGGTAGCCAGGTGGCGACCCGTCCGAGCACACGTGCAGTGTGTCACGCGCTCGTAGGCAGGGGTGAACTGGTGGACACCCCCGTCCTGGAGCGCACTACCCGCCACCAAGTTCGTAGAGAACGAGGGGAGGTAGAGACCTGACAGTGTGCCCGACGGGACCGCAGGACAAGGAAGGACAGTGGAGGAGGTCGCAATGACCGGACCCCCAGAGGGGTCGAGCAAGCTGCTCAAGGGCAGTGCGGTCACGAAAGAAATAGCGGGAAGCACCTGAGTCCAGTGTGAAGGTGTGCAGTGCCTCAGTAGACGCAGTACCAGCGGGCGCAGACTCACTAGCACCTAAAGCAGCAGCCTCACCAGCATCTGGGGCAGCAGACACACTAGCACCTAGTGCGGCAGCCTCACTGGTCCTAATGCCCGGGTCGGGCGGGACACGCAGGTAACAGTCACCCTCTCCACTAGCAGACAGCACATACATGGCACCAAGGATAGCATGAAAGTCAAGAGCATAGACATCAATGTTCTTCTTGATCAGATCAAACCAGCGGGGCAGCTCAGTAGCACCAGGAAACTGAGTGCGCCAGGCGTCGTCGAGGCGGGAGAAGCAGCGCTGCTGGGTGTGCGCCCTCCCACACGTCTGGCCAGTGCGGTCACCTGTGCGGATGACGTACGGGCAGCTAAGGCCACCCCCCCCCACGCTGAGAGTACCACTCACGAAGCTCCTGGGGCGACAAGGTCTGCTGCTGGCGCTGGCCACCGCCAGAGCCTCCACGAGCTCCACCGCCGCCGCCGCCACCACGACCACCACCGCCACCACCGCCACCGCGTCCACTGCCGCCACCACCACCGCCCCAACCCCGGCCACCTCCTCCACCACTGCCGCCACCACCCCCGCCGCTGCCACCACCACCCCCGCCGCTGCCGCCACCACCCCCGCCGCTGCCACTGGCCCCTCCAGCCCCGCCACCACCCCCACCGCCGCCACCGCCCCCACCACCGCCTCCCCCATCATCACCGCCGCCCCCCTTGCCCCCTTTGCCCTTGCCGCTGCGGCGCCCCGCACTCGCAGTGGACACAGTCCCGACCTTCTCAGCACCAAGAAGGTCGACAGCAGCAGCAGAGGCGACAGAGGGGAGAAGAGGGGAGGGGGAACACCCCTCGAAGAAAGGGGTGCGGGGGTCGCCGCGAGACGCACCGACAGTGACTATGCTAGTCTCAGCTGCCAGCAGGTGCTTCTCAAGCAGGTCAATGGTGAGCTCGGTGGGGCAGAGAGCAAGGAAGGTGTCCCTGACCGCACGAAGGGAGTCAAGGAGACGCGTGACCAGGTGGTAAAGAGTGAGCCACAGCGGGGGGGGGTTCTTGGCAAGAAACTCAGCGGGCATGGCAGCATGGAAGCGGATCTCACTAGTGCGGAGGTGAGTAATGAGGTCAGCGACAGTAGAGAAGGCGCACAGGTCTGGGAACAGATAGGGCAGTGAGAGGCGGCCGAGTGAAGCAGAGGCAGGCGAGGATTAGCGCGCAACTACAGCAGTGTACAGAGACTGAGCAGTCTTCTGCTGGCTAAAGTGCTCGCGTTCATCTACCGGCAGGGAGTTGCGAATGGCAAAGCAAGAGTGGGCGTCACGAGTCTGCCACTGTGAGCGGGCAGTACTGTCAGGAGCGAGGCCTAACGCATGGTCATAAAGCGAGATCTCCTCCTTAGCAGTAAGCTGGAGAAACAGATGGACGTCCTCGAGCCAGGTGTCAAAACGCAGCGGGCGGCCCTCAGCATCGAAAGCTAGCACTGCAGGACTAGCCATAGTTTCAGTAGGAGCAGTACGAAAAGTAGTAGGAGTAGCAGCAGCAGTAGCACAGCGCGGCTCGGGCAGGGCGGCGCGGGGCGGCTCGGGCAGGGTGGCGCGGCTCGGCTCGGGCAGGGCGGCGCGGCGGTGTGCGGTCGCGCGGGCGGCCGTGCGTGCGTGCGCGCGGTCGTGCGTGCGTGCGGCCGTGTGGCCTCGCATGCGGCCGTGCGTGCGTGCGGCCGTGCGGCCTTGCGTGCGGCCGTGCGTGCGTGCGGCGGTGCGGACTGCCGTGCGTGCGCGCGGTCGTGCGTGCGTGCGGCCGTGCGGCCGTGCGCGCGGTCGTACGGGCGGTCGTGCGGGCGGCCGTGCGGCCGTGCGTGCGGTTGTGCGTGCGGCTGTGCGTGCGGCTGCTCGTGCGGCCTAACGTGCGGCTGCGCGTGCGGCCTAACGTGCGGCTGCGCGGGCGGCCTAACGTGCGGCTGCGACGGGCGGGCGGCTACGGTGGTCCCGAGAGGGGCGCTCGACGGCGCGCTAGGAGTGGCGCTCGACGGCGCGCTAGGTAGGGCGCTCGACGGCGCGAGAGGAGGGGCGCTCGACGGCGCGCTAGGAGGGGTGCTCGACGGCGCTAGAAGGGGTGCAAGGGCGCGACGGAACGGTGGGCCCTAACCAACGTCGGTCCTAGGTCCTGACCTAGGCGTCGGATACCATGTTAGAATGTAGAACTGAACGAGAATGGATGAAACTAGGCAGCAGGGTGATACAAGTAGGAAACCCTAAATACAAGTAGCAATTAAAAAGTGGACGTGGACCAGAGGATTTGAGTCCATCTGGGCCAATCCAAGGACGGTTTACAACCCACCATAGATGCCTCGCTGGAGCAGACAGCCTCTGCTCACTCACGCTCGGTTACGACCGCTGTTGTTAGTATGCATTTAAACTTGTGGTGTATACTTTCAATAATAATAATTAAAAAAAAAAAGGAAACCCTAGCAATGTTGTACCCTCTAAGGCTAAACCCACTATAGCCTACACAATATAAACATGTATAATGTTTGACAGCGTATATTTTCACGTACAATAGAAGATGCCACCTTTTCATCTCATGCACACTCACCCGTCGGGCTTGTCGAGGTGGAGTTCGTTATGGACGCTCCACACGCCGGTTGGAATCCATGTTGTGAACTCGAGGTCTTCGCGCCACTTTGGCAACTGGTTTGGATTCATGCCGTATGCCACTATGTCAATATTCGGGTGGATTGCGACCGTGTAGGCCCTCTCCACACAGATTTGTATAAGTCGAGGTTCCTCTTCAGGCCGTCGACCTTCTGCTCCGACGTCCTCTTCAGCAGTGCTCCCTCGCCTCGCTGAGAGAACCCGCTTCCCCTGAAAGGCAGACTCACGCCCAATGTCTTACCCTTATCGTCCACTAGGGCGTTTCTCCTATTGTCACACTTTTCGATCTTCACCCCTTTAACTTCCCCTTGGGTTATCTGTATCAATTCATGTATGCCCGCTGCACGCCGTCTCTTAGAAGCATGGCCGTCCGGCTCCCTGTCCTCCTCCCTAGGCCGCCTTTCTTACTACGTTCTCTACGACAACCACAACGACGGCATCTCTTACGTTCGTCTCCCCCCTCTCTTCCATCTGCACCCTCCCCAAGCCCTCTGTAATTTCTTCCTCCCCTGTTTCCCTGGTCGCCCCCCCCCCCCCCTCTGCCGTCGACTCATCCTCTTCCATCTCTCGGGCCAAACGTTCTTTTTGTTCGGCCATAGCCTTTACATTGGCCTCCAGAAGCCTCTGTTGTTCCACGGAGGACGCTATTTTGGCCCTCTTCTCTGCTCGCCGCTGCTCTCGCACGCGTTCCTCCTCCAATCTGCGCTTCTGCTCCCTCTTGGCGTCCTCTGCTTCCTTCCTCTTTGCCTCGTCCTTCTCCCGCTCCTCCTCCTCCTGCTGTTTATCCCTCTTTACCCGCTCTGCGTCGTCTGCTTCTTTCCTCTGCGCCTCCTCCTTCTCCTGCTGCTCCTCCTGCTGCTGTTTCTCCCTTTGCACCCGCTCGGCGTCCTCTGCTTCTTTCCTCTTCGCCTCCTCCTTCTCCCGCTGCTCGTCCTCCTGCTGATTATCCCTCTGCACCCGCTCTGCGTCCTTTGCTTCTTTCCTCTTCACCTCCTCCTTCTCCCGCTCCTCCTTCTGCTGCTGTTTCTCCCTCTGCACCCGCTCTGCGTCCTCTGCTTCTTTCCTCTTCGCCTCCTCCTTCCGCTGTTCCTCCAGCTGCTGTTTCTCCCTCTGCACCCGCTCTGCGCCCTCTGCTTCCAGCCTCTTCGCCTCCTCCTTCCGCTGCTCCTCCTGCTGCTGTTTCTCCCTGTGCACCTGCTCTGCGCCCTCTGCTCCAGCCTCTTCGCTCCTCCTTCCGCTGCTCCTCCTGCTGCAGTTTCTCCCACTGCACCCGCTCTGCGTCCTCTGCTTCCATCCTCTTCTCCTCCTCCTTCCGCTGCTCCTCCTCCTGCCGTTTCTCCATCTGCAGCCGCACTGAGTCTTCTCTCAAAACTGCTGACAACCTCTTTTCCACCTCCCTTAGCATCCCCTCCTTTAACTCAGTCAGCTCCGCCTTCATCTCCTTCATCACCTCCTTCATCTCCTTCATCCCCTTCTCCATCTCCTTATGCCGCGAGCGTTCGTCCTGCTGCTCTTTTTTGTTCCGTTGCTCGGCTTCCTTCCTCTTCGCCTCTTTCTTCTGCCGCTTGTAATCGTCTTCGATTTTCTCCTTCTCCTGTCGCTCGGCTTCCTCTGATTTCCTCTTCGCTTCCTCCTTCTGCCGACGCTCCACCTCCTTTTGTCTCTCCCTCCTCTGCCGCTCGGAGTCCTCTGCCAGAACCGCTGTCAACCCCTCTACCACCTGATTTACCATCCCATCCTTAGTCTCCTTCATACCCGCCTTCATCTCCTTCATCACCTTCATCAACTCTGTCATCTCCTTCATCCCCTCTCTCGTCGCCTTCTGCCGACACTCCTCCTTCCGGTGTTTCTCCTTCTTCCGTCTCTCGGAGTCTTCAGCTACCTTTTTGTTCGCCTCCTCTTTCTGCCTACGCTCATCCTCCCGCTGTTTCTCCTTCTTCAGTCGCTCGGCATCCTTTGCTTCCTTCTTTTTCGCCTCCTCCTTCTGCCGCCGCTCCTCCGCCTGCTGTATCTCCCTCTTCCACCGCTTGGAGTCTTGTCTCAGAACCTCTGTCAACCTCTCTACACCCTCCCTTAACATCCCCTCCTTCAACTCCCCTCCCGACTGGCGAACCTGATCTTTAACGCTTTGCATACTGGCCTGCAAGGTAGAGACAGTGGAACCGATCTGCTCGCGAAACTCGGCCGCTGTTTGTGCTTCCCGCCGCCGTTCTTCGTTTCCATGGCAGACCTCTGCCAGGTTGGCAAGGGCGCCGCGGCAGTAATGGGCAGTCAGATCAAAGACGTCACGAATGATACTCCTGTTGCGGGCCGTAAAGTTACAGAATGTCTGTGTCATCATTCGCGCTAATTGGGTCAGACGTCTTGTTGCTCCCAAAATGTCTCGCGTCTGGTACGTCGTGAAACTCCTCCAGTAGAATATATCGGAGCGGGGCATAGTTCGGTATCCAAATCTTTCCTGTGCCCTTCCTTACAGCTAAGTCTTTCGCCCACTGTAACAGCTTCTTAGTCTGTGCTGTTGCGATCTCTACGTCCACGGAGTACCCATGTTGGAAAAGACCCTTGAGCAAAGGGTTCATCCCGTCGAGCTGGATGCCTGCTACATGACCGGTGCGGCTCAACGCGGCTGCTTTGTTGTGTAGCCCGGGTTTGTAGACGATGTCGTAGTGGAAGTGAGTTTCTAGGAAGTCCACCCACCGCACATGTCGTCGTGAGAGCGTCGGCTGCGACTTCAGGTATTTGAGATTGCAGTGGTCGGTATAGACTATAGTCTTGGCTCTCTCTAGGTAACACCTCCACGCCTTAAAGGCTACGATTATGGCTAAGGCTTCCTTGTCGTGAATGGGGTGGCTCAGTTCTGCTCCGTGTAGCTTCTTACTGAGGTAGGCGATGGGCTGCAAACCGCGTCCGTGATCCTGCATCAGTACTGCTCCAACTGCTTGGTCACTAGTGTCTGCTTTCACCATGTAGTCCTTGTCTGGATTCGGTAGGATGAGTATTGGTGCTGTAGTCAGTGCTGTCTGTAGCTGCTTCATGGCTTGCTGATGAGAAGTATCCCATTTGAAGGGCGTATCATTTTTCAGTAGGTCGGTCCGTGGCGCTGGTATCTTAGCGTACTACGGCACGAACCTGTTGTAGTAGTTGGCGAAGCCTAGGAACTGCTGCAACTCCTTCACGTTCTTCGGTACTTTCCACTTCTTGACGACTTCGATCTTCCGCGGGTCCACGTGTACGCCTCGGCACCCACCATGTGCCCAAGAAACTGCACCTTCTTCAGTGCGAAGTCGCTCTTCGACAGCTTTACGTAGAACTTGTTCTTCCGCAGGATCTCGAATACCTTCCGCAGATGCTCCACGTGCTTCTTCATGTTCTTGGAGTAGATGAGAATGTCGTTCAGATACACCACCATGCACTCGTCCAGCAGGGGCCGTAGGATGAGGTTCATCTCCGCCTGAAACGTCGCTGGTGCGTTGCAGAGTCCGAACAGCATCACCAAGTATTTGTAGGAGCCGTATCTGGTACGGAACGCCATCTTGTGGATTGTGTTGTCCGCCATCTAAATCTGCCAGTAACCCGACCGCAGGTCCAGCTTCGAAAGACTATTGCACCACGCAGTTGGTCAGTAGGTCGTCTATGCGCGGTATGTGATATTTGTTTTTGACTGCCTGTTTGTTATGTGCGTGGTAGTCGATGCACATCCGTAAACTGCCGTCTGGTTTTGGAGTGAAGAGAACTGGTGCACCGTAGGGAGAGGTGGATGGGCGGATCAGTTGTCTGTCCAGTAGATACTCTATCTGCTTCTTCATGTCTGTCAATTCTGTCGGACTCAGTCGGTATGGTGCACGTGAGACGGGTTTAGCACCTGGTTCCTCCACGATCTCGTGCTCGTGGGTGCGTGCTGGAGGTACACCTGCAGATAGATCGTCGGGCATGATATCTTTGTCCTGCTCCAACACCTCCTTCACTGCTGTAGGTAGCTCCAAACTCGGCTTCTCCTCCTCTGCTGCTGCCATAACCAGTGCTAGGTAACCCGTGTTACTCTCGTTCACTGTCTGTTCAAACCGTGCCAGTGTCGTTTCAGGAACGCTCCCAGTATCTGTCCAGCTTCGCAGCTCCACTCGTTTCCCGTTGTTGTAGATGCACACCTTCCTGTTGACCTAGTTAATCTCGGGCATGAACCGCTTCAAGAAATCTCGCCCCAAGATGAAATCTAGGCCCTTGACATTCGTGATCAGCAACGTCGGCTTCCACCTCAGCGCCCCTATGTGCAGCTGCAGTGATGCTTCGCCGTGGATGGGAAGTTTCGTACCGTCCACCATCGTTGCCGCAAACTTGGTCTCCTCTGAAGGTTCTCCAATTTTCTCCAACGTCCCGCGGTCACACACTGAGTGAGATGCACCACTATCCACCAGCACCTCGAGGAGTAGTGGTTCCTGCTGCGCTGAGTAGCCAATGAGGGTCTCATTGATAGGATCATAGGGTACATCAAAGTGAATACCATCCCTATTTCCTATACCTGACTCAGCACTTTCCAGCTTCACGGGGGTGGGAAGGAGGATTTTTCCGAGGCTTGTACAACTTCTCATGAGCCTGGAATTTTCCTTTAAGCCTTTGCAGCTGTGTAGGCTTCACCTGTGGGCAACGGGGAGCCTTAACATTGTGCTGCGGGGAGAGAATATTAACTCCACGGAACGCACGACCCTTTTCTACGCTCCGTAGTACTTTGCCCAACTTCTTAGGTACCTTAATAATCTCTAAAGGCTTTTTCTTGGCCTCTAAATCTCCCCTGAATTTCTCAAAGGCTTGAAAACCACGAGAAGCAATATTTTTCGTTAGAGTATCTTTATAGGATACTTATAACAAATTCTTACTTTCGTGAGTGTTCGGCTAGAGTTTCCCGGTCGGTGCAGAGTCTTTTTTCGCGGAGCCTCCATTTGCCTCGGCGATTTCCCCTGATGCCGGACGGTCGTGACGTTTTATATTCACGCCATCACTTTCTCCTTTTTTCACCCGCTCCGAAGTCGCCACGTCGTCGCCCTTTTTCCGCTGTTCGGATCTTTACACGATCTCCAGGTCGATCCGCGGCTACTGGCGATTCCCGTTTTTTACTTCGGGGGTGCTCCACTATTGCCACCCAGCATTGCCGCACGTGCCTCCTTCATTTTGTAGCACGACAAAATTTGATGCCCCGCTGCGCCGCAAAATTCGCATTTTGTCGGTTGCTGCTTCGCGTCAAATTTGTCGATATCCATCGGTTCGGCTTACGTGGGGGGTGCCGATCGCTCTGTGCCGAATGTACGGTTCGGCCCGTAACGTCGTGTTTCGGGTTGACCACGAGTCAAAGCGTCGTATCGTTCGGCAGCACGTACAATGTCACGGTAACTACTGTAGTTCGCTGCAATCACTTGTCGGCGAATCTCCATTTATAACCCTTCCGTGTACACCTGGATTTTTTCGCCTTCGGTCTGGTCGGTGATGCAGTTGAACAGTAGCTCCATCTGCTGCGTGTACTGTGCTACACTACTGTACTGTTTGTGCCGGTGTATCTGCTGCCGCGCCATGTAGGTTGTATTAATTGGTTCGAAACGTTCGATGAGGTCTGCCCGGAACTGCGCCCACATTTTCTCCCCACGGGCCACGTCAGTATAATAAATCCACTCGGGTGCTGGTCCCCGCAACAGTGTCGCTGCGAGCCAAATTCGTGCTGCATCGTGTGTCGGGGTCGAACAGCCAATGGCCTCGAAATAAATTTCGAGGGCCGCCACGAATCGTCGAACATCAGATCCTTTCGCGCTGGGATCGAACGCTTCGGGGAGCCTCGGGCGAGCTGCTTCGAGGTTCGACGAAGGTGTTGCCATCGGTCCGTGAAATGTTGGTGTCGCTGCCGCTGTTGCTGCTGTCGCTGTTACGTTCGCTGCTGCATTGACTGCTGCGGTGGCGGCTGCGGATTGGTTTGTCAAGAGGGCCTCGATTCGCCGAATCGCCACCTGCGTCTGTTCCACGTCGGTGCGAAGGCTGGTGGTCGCTTGTGGTCGTGTAATTGTCGCCTCGACCCTCCATGTCTGACATTGCGCGTTCGAAAACCGAAATCGAGGGGGAGTGAAAAAAACGGCTCCGCGGTTATTTGAAGATTCGGTTTTAGTAGTCGAGAAAACTGTCCCGCATGTAGTTCTAGCTGTAGTGGAGTTATTATTTTTGTAGGTGGTGCACCTCTTCATTTGTTTGCTATATGTACCCTCGTGCTATAGTGAACACCACCATTCTCGACACTCAAAAAAAAAAAAAAAAAAACCATGTCACAAGCAGTAGCTAGAATGCAGGAGCCATAGCTAGGGTTTCGCTAGCTAGGCAAGAGAGAATAGGCAAAAGGGGTTTCACTAGCAGGCAGTTGAGTACATATAGTAAACCCTAAGAGGGCTATACTCACTATAGAGTACCCCACTGCAGACTAGAGAAAATAACATTCTGACACACCCCCATAGTCAATGTGGGGTATAATCAGCACAGCAAGCAGTCACAGAGCAGATTAACAAGTACAAGCAAAACTAGAGGCATTCACAAAGGGCAAGTGAGGAGGAGGAGGCGGGACTGTGAGAGGAGAGGAGGTGGTGGGCGGCAGCTGAAGCTGCTAGCACACGGCGCAACTGGAGCAACTGGCACATGGGCAACTGGAGCAAATGGCACACTAGCAACTTGAGCAACTGGCACACGGGCAACTGGACTAACTGGCTCCGCGGCTAGACGAGCGGCAGGAGCAACTGACCCACGGGCGACTGGAGCAATGGGCTCACAGGCGACTGGAGT